TCTTAAGGTACATGATGTTTTTAGTTTTTCCCTCCGACGAGACAGCAACCGGCAATATATATGGGCATGGAAGGCTCTGGATAGAGGTAGTACCTTTGATGTCTGACACGCTGCACCTTCGGCTAGACGGGCGTCATTGGTCCTCAAACATCTCTTAAATCTGTCAGCTGATGAATCTCCGTTGCCATGCCCCGCTAAACCATTTCCGCTACCGGGCTTAAGTCACGTGAGGAGGTGGTATTAACACGGCAGAAGGACATTCGCGACGCATGTCACTGCGCAGGCGGAAGTTTTCCTCAGATGAACTCCAACGGACACGTGTTGGCGACCAAGGCCTGCCAACTGGAGAATGATGGTCTCCACTAGGCTTAAATGCCAAAGACTCGCCATATTATGTGCCCACAAAGAAACTATTCGCGGAGAACCAGGCCCTGGCACACTATTTTCTATTTTACATTGTCAAGATGGAAAACAAAAACACACACTTAGTGAAAACGAAGAAAAGAAAAAAATGCCAATATCTAAAAAGAGGCTTTCACAGGAGCAGCTTTTAAATTTTTTAAAATTTCTCTTCTGTTTATCATCACTTGCCTTGATAAAGTCAAATGAGGAAACGCGTCGGTAAGGATTAATTACTATTTTCCGATTAATAATTATTTTATTCAGTTCGTCATCTCTCCAGATATTTGAAATTTAACACACACACATACATACATCATATATATATATATATATATATATATATATATATATATATATATGTGTGTGTGTGTGTGTGTGTGTGTGTGTGTGTGTGTGTTTTACCTAGACTTATTTACCAGTAGTATTTCAAGTTACCATCGTTTTACCGTTGAATTAGTTGGATGTAACGGTAAATTCTTTGCTAACATTCTCTTTCTCACCTATGGAATTCTCTTCCCGCGTCTTGTTTCACAGACAATTTCTATCTTCAAAAATTTAAATGAATTACTAATGATTATGTATATATATATATATATATATATTGATTTTCAAGCGTAGCTTAGATGTGGCCCAAGACAGAAATTATGGGATACCCTGTGAGGATCGAAACCCTACTCAGTTGTAATTTCGATCCTCACTGTGTATTCCATAATTTCAGCCTAGTTCCACATCACTACATATATATATATATACATATATATATATATATATATATATATATCAGAGATATAAAAGAGCAGAAATTGGTTTAATATTTGATAATAAATCCTCGGGTGTTCTAATCTTACGTCATGATGGATCCGTTGATTATTTTCAACTTTCTTTCTCCTATGGAGAGAATTCTTGCTTTGAACTCCTGGAGTCATGAAACTCGATTGCAGAGATTTCATCAAAGATAGAGAAGTCTCCTGCCGTTATATATATATATATATATATATATATATATATATATATATATATATATATATATATATATTGAAAGGATATTTTAACTGACATTATTTCTAATGACTATAAACATTATATTCTATAGGCCTATGTATTGGAGTTTCTATCTATGTTATTTCTTTTATTAACCAATAAAATTAATAGCTGCCAGTCCAAATTGAGAAGTCCTTCTAAAGAAAAAGAAAAATGCTTCCGACAGGAATCGAACTTGCATGCTTTTTTCCCTACAGGCTTTAACAAATTTATGCCCCTACCAGTTAGGCCAGGGACCCAGCAGGGATAGCAACCGAAATACAGTTATAGGAAGAAGAAGGAATATCGACTAAAAGTTGCTTTAAAAAATTACGTTTACGTTTTGTGTACAAACCGAAGTTAGCAGATATAGATTCGCACAAGTTCCAACGAGAAAGATGGTCTCCAAGTTATTTCATTGATAGGTTTATTCAATCCTTACCCTGTCGAGCAGCCTTGTCACTAAAGTCATTCTGGTTAAATGGCGTCTGACATAAAACTAAGTACGGACCAGGTGGATGTCAATGAATTCCTCCACAAGAAAACGCTTTCAACCGTTTAAATCATCGACTTCTGTCTTAACAGTCAGTGACATCAAACACTGAATGTGAAACCAGTTACGCCAACACCATTTCTTCATCTGCAAAACATAAAGGGGTCTAAGACGTCTTCTTATCAGATTTATTCAGCCTATACGTTGGGGTTGTACAAAGAGAATCAGACTGAATGATTAATTGGGTATTTTGGAACGTTTAGAAGGTTATTTAAACCCATAAAATATTTTTAGTTACTAAGATTTTTTTAGAGGTAATAACAGTTTATTTATACAAGTCCTACTAATAAATCCATAATTGGGAGAGTGGAGATGGATTCATACCTTTCCTAAAGTAAGTCAATATACCGAATCGGTTCTCTTATTTCACATTTCCGAGCCGTTATTCATTCACAGCACCTGGTATTCCCAAGAGGTTAAAAGGCTGGACGTGGCTTATCGTCTGTGAACCGGCTTTCAACGTGATATGGGGGTAAGCAAAGGAAAATAGAAGCTGTATCATGATTTATTATTCATAGACATAATCTTAAGGTATACAGATGCCACTTTTTTGTTGGTTGAACAGAATGAATAACGCAGCAAATATTAGACAAGAGATTAAAGGAAAGCGGGAAAGAAGGACTAACTATCAGGTGAAAAGAGGATAGATTATACCATCGTTTAGAAGAGGGACAGCTTCGAATGCGAGATACTTACCTATTAGAGACGTAGAACTCAAGGGAGGGCACAATGTAAATAGATGCCAACGACTATAACAGACAGTATATATGGGAGAGATCAATCCAAAGGCATTAGTGTTGTGGCCTGTTAGGGGACACAAAGAAAGACACGGGAAAAAAGAAGGTAGTTTGAATAAGTGTATTGAAATAACAGAACATATATACAAAATAACAGTGTTATTAGTCCGTAGATAGAAGTGTCCGTCCGAACTATCAGGTTACACTGCGTCCCGACTGCCGATATTTAACAGTCCCCCCACGCGGGATGTATGTGGCACAAGGCTGAGTTTAACGTGGGTTTCTCCGAGCCAGTAGTCTCGGCTAAAAATATCCCCACAGAACCCGCATTAGCAGGTTTAGGTCTGTCTATCTCCCCGGACGAAACTGACCTTCGGCATAGCTTCGTCCGGATTCCTCTCTGCCAAAGTACAGAGTACGAAAGAAGTCGCAAACAGTCAGAAGACTGTATCCCGACTGCCAATATTTAACAGACCCCCACCCACAAGGAATGTATGTAGCACAAGGCCGAGTAGGCTCAGCCAAAAATATTCCCTTATAACCCGCATAAACGGGTTCAGGGCCTGTCTACCTCCTCGGACGAAACTCTGCCCTTCGGCAAAGCCTCGTCCGGGTTCCTCTCTGCCAAAGCAGAGAGTTCGAAAGAAGTCGCACACAACCAGAGACTGCGTTATGACTGTCGATATTTAACATTCCCCCCACCAGGAATATATGTGGAACAAGGCCGAGTTTAACGTGGGTTTATCCGAGCACGTAGGCTCAGCCAAAAATATTTCCTTAGAACTCGCACAAGTGGGTTCAGGATCTGTCTACCACCCCGGACGAAAATTTGCCCTTCGACAAAGCTTCGTCCGGGTTCCTCTCTGCCAAAGCGAAGAGTTCCACAGAAGTTGCACACAGTCAGAGACTGTGGGTCGACTGCCTACGTTAGAAAGTCTCACAGGTTAGTATTTGAAGGCGGAAGAGTTCATTCTAATGTAGATAGGTCACCATAACAATTAGGAAAAGCGAAAAGTATTAAGAAACAGAACATAATCATTGGAAGTAAAGAAAACAGAAATAAAATAGGTAAGATTATGTGGCAATGGTGATTTCCTAAGCTTAGCTTAGATGTGGCACAAAACCGGAAGTATGAGACACCCAGTGAGGATCGAACTCACTACTCAGTCACAACGTTTTCATTTTTTTTTGTTTTATTTTAACGAGACAAACTTTTTAACCGTTATACCACATCGTGGTGCCCAGTGACCTTCTTAGCGTAGCTTAGATGTCACACAAGGCCGAAAGTGTGGAGCGCCCATCGAGGATTGAACTCTCTACTCAGTAGCAAAGGATCTCGCGAGACAAACCTTCTAACCATTGCGTCACGTCGAGATGCCCAATGATTTATTGAACGTAGCTTAGTTGTGGCACAAGGGTAAAAATATATGGTACCCAGTGAGGATAACACTCGCTACTCAGTCTTAATTGATCTAGCAAGACAAGCTTGCTAGCCATTACATCACGTCGAAGCGCCGGAATGATTTTCTAAGCGTAGCTTATATGTGGTTCGAGGACGAAAGAGTGAGGCTCTCAGTGAGGATCGAACTTTCAACTCATTTATAATTTATCTAGTGAGCCAAGCTTGCTAACCATTACCCTACATTGAAGTACTCCAATTATTATGGCAATGAATGTTGTATTTTTTGACTCAACAATAAAGAAGAGTCTTGAGGTGACAGAAATGTTCATCTAGAGAATGATAGTGAGAATACCAGGGACTGAATATGTGAACAATGAGGAAGTCTTGAAATAAATGTAAGTGAAAAGGAGGCTCATACTTAGAATCAGAAACTGACAGATAATGAGGAAAAGATGGATTGGAAAATCTGGCACTTAGAGGACATATTGTTGAAATCAGCAAGTAACTTGCTTAACAAGTTTGTATAAATGGATGGCAAAAAAAGGGACTGAGATGGATAGTAATGCGATAAATATTCCACAGAGCAGAAAAAGATAGGAAGTTGTGGAGAGTCATTATTATTCATATCCCGAAGGCCCATGTGACATAAAAGAAGATTAAATAACATAATGATAGCGTTATCACTACGATCATTATTACAGAGCCTTGGTTTGAATTTGCTCATTTTCTTACTCTCCCCAATTCTTAATATCAACCACATTATTTTGATCCAAATCGTTGGCAATTATATAGGAATTATTTTACTGTTACTCGCCTCCTTCTCAGTCATTTCTTTAACTTCTTTATTTTTCTCCCCAACAATCCAACCGCTGATCCCAACTTGATAATGAGGCTAGGAACAAACGCTTCCTATTTTTCTTTTCGCTATGCCTTACGTTCGCTTCCCATTATCCATTCTCCGATCTCACTCTCTCTCTCTCTCTCTCTCTTTCTCTCTCTCTCTCTCTCTCTCTTTGCCATGCGTGCAAAATATTCCTCGCTTTTGAAATTGCTCTCTACGGACGTGTAAGCAGTATCACCGCATAGGTTTGCTGGCACGCAAGCTAGATCCCCACGAAAACAACGCGGCAATATAAACTTTATCAATAACGGCATCTGAACCAAATCAAGACTTGCATGAGTAGTTGGTACGTCAATAAAGATTCGCATAAACAAGTGTTACTCTAGGGACCCAAAAATGTCTCCTACTCCGGGCGCATTAAACGGATCATATAAGGCAATTATCAAATACAGGAGATTATACGGCGTCAAATTTTTCAAGCCAAGAAATACCAAGACATACACTTGACTCATGACAAAATTATTTGCACATTCTCATTCGTTCCAGAGTATGTAGGAAAGCCTTAGTAAAATCGGGATTTAGAATACAGATTTTCAATATAGGCAGCTCTTGAAGATCTTATTAGCGGTACACAGTTTAATAAACACTAAAACAGACATATATTTTTTAAAAAAAGCAAAAAAGAGGAAATAAAATACAGCTACAATAAATCACGATATTGGATAATATTAAAAGAACTGATAAGTTTTCGTTCTTCTCTCATGAGAACTCGATCGAGGAATTTCAATATCGTACCTAACGATTAAAAAAAAGGCTGAAATAATTGAATATGAGAAATATATATATATATATATATATATATATATATATCGACACGTGTATTCCTATGTTATACGCAGATCACATTGTATCAGTCTATATTTCTGTGATGAGGTATTATGTACACTATTTATATTATTCGGACTATTGTTCTCAACTTTGTTGCCATATTTATCACAACGTTTCGGCCGTTTTACTGGATCTAACTAACAGCAAAAATTGCAATATGAGTACTGGTAAAAAAATGATTACTGAAGACATTAAGTTTATAATACCCAGACATTTATACGAAGATGTCGTCAAGGAAACATGGCGCAGGCGTTAGTTAGATTCAGTGACAGGACCCAAAGAGTGTGAGTTCAATACCCGGTTAAGACACTTGAGAACTTGGAGAGAGGAATTAACAGGAGACAACTGATATCCATTAGACATGGCACATGGAACTAGAACAGTCTACACTAGTGAGTGAAATAAAGGGTTCATTTTGACATTCCAACCACTTGAAGAAGGCAGGAACGTACAACGGCCGAAACGTTGTGATATATATAGTAACAAAGGTGAGGACAATAGTCCGAATAATGTAAATAGTGTAGATTACATTGTGACCCAACACATATCTTTTATACAAAGGAAGCGGTCTTGATTTAATAAAAAAAGTCTTAAGGTTTTTCAGATGGATACTAGAATGTGATGTATTCAGCACAGAAAACATATCACCATGGTAGGGCGATGAACATTATCGATTATATTCGGAAATTGCAGAACCGGATATAATGTCAGTCAGCTTTCTTCATATGAAAGCTCAGGACACGAAAAAATTGTAAGTCTTGTCGTATTGAACTAGCTTCTAAAACTACATCTTGTCAGGCAAACACGCCCGCTCCATCAGACGCATAAATCGTTATTTGTTCAGTCTACTTAGGGCACTTCGGGACGATGAAGTGGTTAGCTAGCTTGTCTTGCTACGACTGAGTAGTGAGTCCGATCCTCACTGGGTGCCCCATACTTTCGGCCTTGTGCCGCATCTAAGTTACACCTGGAAAAACATTTGGGATACTCCGAGGCGGTGTAATGGTTAGCAAGCTTGTCTCGCTAGAACAAATATGACTGAACAATGAGTTTGATCCTCACTGGGTGCCCCATACTTTCGGCCTTGTGCCACATCTAAACTACACCTGGAAAATCACTTGGGATACTCCGAGGCCGTGTAATGGTTAGCAAGCTTGTCTCGCTAGAACAAATATGACTGAACAATGAGTTCGATCCTCACTGGGTGCCCCATATTTTCGGCCTTGTGTCGCATCTAAACCTTACCTGGAAAATCACTTGGGGTACTCCGAGGCCGTGTAATGGTTAGCAAGCTTGTCTCGCTAGAACAAATATGACTGAACAATGAGTTTGATCCTCACTGGGTGCCCCATACATTCGGCCTTGTGCCGCATCTAAACTACACCTGGAAAATGACTTGGGATACTCCGAGGCGGTGTAATGGTTAGCAAGCTTGTCTCTCTTGAACAAATATGACTGAACAATGAGTTCGATCCTCACTGGGTGCCCCATATTTTCGGCCTTGTGTCGCATCTAAACCTTACCTGGAAAATCACTTGGGGTACTCCGAGGCCGTGTAATGGTTAGCAAGCTTGTCTCGCTAGAACAAATATGACTGAACAATGAGTTCGATCCTCACTGGGTGCCCCATATTTTCGGCCTTGTGTCGCCTCTAAACCTTACCTGGAAAATCATGTGGGGTACTCCGAGGCGGTGTAATGCTTGTCTTAGAACAAATATGACTGAACAATAAGTTTGATCCTCACTGGGTGCCCCATACATTCGGCCTTGTGCCGCATCTAAAACACACATGGAAAAACTTGGGATACTCCGAGGATAATGGTTAGTAAGCATCTAGAACAAATATGACTGAACAATGAGTTCGATCCTCACTGTGGCCTCATATTTTCGGCCTTGTGCCGCATCTAAACCTTACCTGGAAAATCACTTGGGGTACTCTGAGGCGGTGTAATGGTTAGCAAGCTTGTCTCGCTAGAACAAATATGACTGAACAATGAGTTTGATCCTCACTGGGTGCCCCATACATTCGGCCTTGTGCCGCATCTAAACCTTACCTGGAAAATCACTTGGGGTGCTCCGAGGCGGTGTAATGGTTAGCAAGCTTGTCTCTCTTGAACAAATATGACTGAACAATGAGTTTGATCCTCAAATTTTCGTCCTTGTGTCGCATCTAAACCTTACCTGGAAAATCACTTGGGGTACTCGAGGCGGTGTAATGGTTAGCAAGCTTGTCTCGCTAGAACAAATATGACTGAACAATGAGTTCGATCCTCACTGGGTGCCCCATATTTTCGGCCTTGTGTCGCATCTAAAGTACACCTGGAAAATCACTTGGGATACTCCGAGGCCGTGTAATGGTTAGCAAGCTTGTCTCTCTTGAACAAATATGACTGAACAATGAGTTCGATCCTCACTGGGTGCCCCATACTTTCGGCCTTGTGCCGCATCTAAACTACACATGGAAAATCACTTGGGATACTCCGAGGACGTGTAATGGTTAGCAAGCATGTCTCGCTAGAACAAATATGACTGAACAATGAGTTCGATCCTCACTGTGTGCCTCATATTTTCGGCCTTGTGCCGCATCTAAACCTTACCTGGAAAATCACTTGGGGTACTCCGAGGCGGTGTAATGGTTAGCAAGCTTGTCTCGCTAGAACAAATATGACTGAACAATAAGTTTGATCCTCACTGGGTGCCCCATACATTCGGCCTTGTGCCGCATCTAAACCTTACCTGGAAAATCACTTGGGGTGCTCCGAGGCGGTGTAATGGTTAGCAAGCTTGTCTCTCTTGAACAAATATGACTGAACAATGAGTTTGATCCTCACTGGGTGCCCCATATTTTCGTCCTTGTGTCGCATCTAAACCTTACCTGGAAAATCACTTGGGGTACTCCGAGGCGGTGTAATGGTTAGCAAGCTTGTCTCGCTAGAACAAATATGACTGAACAATGAGTTCGATCCTCACTGGGTGCCCCATATTTTCGGCCTTGTGTCGCATCTAAAGTACACCTGGAAAATCACTTGGGATACTCCGAGGCCGTGTAATGGTTAGCAAGCTTGTCTCTCTTGAACAAATATGACTGAACAATGAGTTCGATCCTCACTGGGTGCCCCATACTTTCGGCCTTGTGCCGCATCTAAACTACACATGGAAAATCACTTGGGATACTCCGAGGCCGTGTAATGGTTAGCAAGCTTGTCTCGCTAGAACAAATATGACTGAACAATGAGTTCGATCCTCACTGGGTGCCTCATATTTTCGGCCTTGTGTCGCATCTAAACCTTACCTGGAAAATCACTTGGGGTACTCCGAGGCGGTGTAATGGTTAGCAAGCTTGTCTCTCTTGAACAAATATGACTGAACAATGAGTTCGATCCTCACTGGGTGCCCCATACTCTCGTCCTTGTGCCGCATCTAAGCTACGCTTGGAAAATCACTATTCAATCTGCTTACATTTGGCACAAATTATTTTATAGAGGCACCTACGAATGCTATTTTATTGAAGCACCTACGAATGTTATCACCAGTGAGATTTCACTACTACTAAAGAAATAATACATTTGAAACAGATTGTCAGCGAGGCTTAGAATACACGCAAAATCGCCCACCTAATGGGTGAGTGTCTGTGACTTGAAAACAAGAGGACTTCAACAAGTAACGAAAGAAACAATCTTGTGGCAGAACAGGGTTTAGAGGGATGATGAAAAGACAAACTTTACTAATGGCTATAAAGTAAAGGAAGTTGTGGAGAGCCATGACACAGCACATAGATGAAGAAGACCAGCCATAGTAGACAATATATACGTTTTAAAACCAGCGATCGACCAGGAAATATTTTCCTTTGCATACTTGCAGACAACAATTTCTCTCAACCTACAGGAATATATACAATTGATTCTATTGCTATACGTATAAAAATACTCCTCATCATTGACCCGTAACCCTAGATCATCCTCAACACATGCAAAAGAACTTGTATTCGTGATAAAAATCACATAATCTACTACACCTCACATTAAAGACATAAACTTATCCACACTCTGGTATTTAGTTTAATTTTATGTTGCTTGCAAATGCAAGCAACATAAAAACGCGCTATTGCATGCACAACTGAATTAATTTATCTTTTCCCCATAAAATTCGTTCGCTCTTTGAACTGTTTCCATAGCACATAAACGAAGAATTAATCAGAAATACAATATGCAATGTCGTAAAACTATACAAAGACATGGACAATAATAAAATCTTCCTGGGTGGGTCATACAATCAGACCTTTTAACGATGGCACTAAAAACGTCAAGTTTTCCACCGTCGTGGTTAAAAAAAAAATGTTTATATACGAATCAAGGTTGTCTGTTTTCGATCATTTTATCCAACTCTTTTTCTCTTCATTACCCTACCAACCTGAAACCTGAAATTCATCGTGATTGTTGTTCAGTTGAACAACTTCATATGCAATCTCAGACAAATTTTCTTTTCGAGCCCCAACTAGAATAAATTTATGCCACTCAGATCGATGACGACTCTAGGAATGTTTATGAAGAGATAACCCAAGGACCTCCCACTGACATCCCACTCCACTTCGAATTCTATTAGCATGAGTTTCAAAATCGGTGTCAAATCTAATAAAATTGTTTGCAGATCATTTGCGACCAAGAATTAAAAATACGCGGTGATAACTATAGAGCGGTTGATATCGATCGATGTCCGAACAACACTAATTATTATTTACCTATTAAAATAAGCCAAAATTTAAAAACCCGAGATAAAGACAAGGTACTTTCTATTTTATGTTGCTTTCGAAGAATGTATTAGATTGAGTAACGGCAGAGTTGTGGAAGATAGATATATTCTCTCATTTACATTCCTCCTGTTATAGGCAGTAATGCATCCGTGATATAACAACACCGGAACGGAACGGAAAAGGAATGACAAACATGCTTTGTTCTTAGAAATTATTTTGTACTACAAAGACATACACTAAATTATATGTACATATATAAGCATGTCCCACACGGAGAATAATATTTCACAGGAATCTATGCAGCAAAACAGTGTAACTAGAAAAGGAAGGGTCTTACATATAATATAGAGCTACTCCTGTATCTGGAGAAGCCATGTTTATGATCTGCAAATTCAAACGGGCCGGATTCATTTATACCCCATGCGATGACATATTCCAGGAACGTGTCTGTGGATGTACCAAAAATGAGGTCGGCGAGTTGGAGTTCATTCTATACCTGGGAACGATATATTCTCAAAGGGAAACGGTGCCATGGAGTTTTAAGCCGCTGGTGGTTCAGATTTAGCGTCTGTCCGAGTCATGGGTGAGCCGGACTACAGAAAGAAACCATTTGTTTGTCAGGAAACAAACTGAATGAGACTGCCGCTTTCGTCACTGTATGGAGTGACATCAAAATGCGTTTGTCATATGATCCACGTGACTTATCTCCAACAAAGGGAGATAATCGCCTTCTGCATCATTACAATTCAATATGACAGAAGTTAATATTGTTTGTGGGAAAAACTGTCACGAGCATCTACACAGAAAAATAACTTAAATCTCTAAATTAATTTTTTTTTCTGAAGTAATTTTTGTAGTTTGTTTTTTAGCATTTTCTTTCCTGTAACTTTTTTAAGTCACTTTATTTATCTATTTCAAATTCCTTCTCCGCTTTTTTAAAATTTTATTTTGACTAATTCTCTTTTTATTTTATCTTGTCACCCTCTCTTTTATATTATTTTCTCACCTTTTCTTTTATTTTATTCTCTCACCCTATCTTTTATATTATTTTCTAGCTTTTATTTTATTTACTTACACTTTCTTTTATTTTATTTTTTCACCCTTTCTTTTATTTTATTTTCTCATCCTCTCTTTTATTTTATTTACTCACCCTTTCTTTTACTTTATATTCTCACCCTCTCTTTTATATTATTTTCCCTCCCTCTTTTATTTTATTTTCTCACCCTTTCTATTATTTTATTTTCTCACCCTCTCTTTTTATTTCATTTCTCTCCCTCTCCTTTTATATTATTTTCTCTCCCACTATTTTTTATTTTGTATCACTATTTTTATTTTATTTTTATTTTTCTACTCTATTTTTATTTCCTTTATTTATTATCCATGTCTTTCCCTTTTTCCTCACCTTTAATTTTATATTATTTCCCCGTCCTATTTTCATATAGTTTTCCCCCAATCATTCTTTAATTTATTTCAATACTATAACTTGCATTTTATTTTCTCCTTCTCTCCTCTTACTTTGTTTACTCTCCCACTTTCTAATTAATTTTCACACTCGCTCTTTATATTTATTTACTTATTCCCCATGATATTCTAATTTTTCTAACGCATTTTTTATTCTATTTTACTTATTTATTACAATTCTTTTTCTATTTTCTCTATCGTTCTTTTTTTATTTTATTTTAATTATTTATTACCCACCTTTTTCTATTTTCTCTCCTCTTTTTATTTTATTTTATTTATTTATTACCCAACTATTTCAGTTTTCTCCCCTTCACTTTTTATTCTGTTTCATTTATTTATTTATTATCATTCTCTTTCTATTTTCCCCATTCTATTTTATTCTATTTCTCTTTCTGTCTTTCTCTTTGTATTCCATTTATTTATTTATTACTATTGTCTTATTGTTTTCTATATTCTTCTTTATGTTTTATTTTATTTATTTATAACCCACGTCTTTTTATACTCTCTCCCTCCCTTTATTTTATTTTATTTATTAACCATATCTTTCTAATATTTTCTCCCTCTCTTTTAATTATATTTTATTTATGACCCATATCTTTCAATTTTCTCTCTCTCCCTTTTTATTCTATTTTATTTATTACCCATCTCTTTTAATTTTCCCTCCTTACCTTTTTATTCTATATTATTTATTACCCATCTCTTCATATTTTCTTCCTCTCTTTTAATTCTATTTTAATTATTACCCATCTCTTTTCATTTTCTCTCTCTCCCTTTTTATTCTATTTTATTTTTTACCCATATCTTTTAATTTTTTCTCTCTCTCTCATTTTCTTCCATTTTATTTATTATCCATCTCTTTATATTTTCTCTCTCTCTTTTTATTCTACTTTATTTATTACCCATCTCTTTATATTTTCTTCCTCTCTTTTAATTCTATTTTATTTATTACCCATATCTTTTAATTTTCTCTCCCTGCCTTTTTATTCTATTTTATTTATTACCCATCTCTTTATATTTTCTTCCTCTCTTTTAATTTTATTTTATTTATTACCCATCTAATTTAAGTTTCTCTCTCTCCCTTTATATTCTTTTTTATTTATTACCCATCTCTTTATATTTTCTTCCCCACAATTAATTCTATTTTATTTATTACACATTTCATTTAATTTTCTCTCACTATCTTTTTATTCTTTTTCATTTATTACCCATCTCCTTATATTTTCTTCCTCTCTTTTAATTCTATTTTATTTATTACCCATCTCTTTTAATTTTCTCTCTCTCCCTTGTTATTTTATTTCATTCATTTTCCAAATCCTTCTATTTTCTTTCCTTCTCTTATTATGCTATTTTATTTATTTACTAGCCATCTCTTCCTATTTTCTCTACTTTATTTTTTTAATTATTTTATTTTTTATTTCCCATCTCGACCTCTCGTTTTCTTTTCATTTCTCTCCATTCTTCATTTTATTTACTTATTAGCTGTCTCTTTTCTATTTTCTCTCCATGTCTCTTTTTAATCATCAATATATACACTGTCGTGTCTAATGCGCAATATTTTTTGAAGCCATGTTTTCTAACATTTTCCAACTTTCTGCAAAGAAATCTTTGTGTTAAGCTTTAAAGTTACTGATCTATTGATCCATATATATATATATGATCTTTTATATATATATATATATATATATATATATATATATATATATATGAGATCAACACTGATTTATTGATTTATATACATATATATATATATATATAGAAGATCGTTTATATATATATATATATATATATATATATATATATATGAGATCAACACTGAGTGCCAAAAGTCCATCTCATGCATAAAAACAACATAATACAGTACACACACACACACACACACACACACACACACACATATATATATATATATATATATATATATATATATATATATATATATATATATATATATATATATATATATATATACGTATGTATGCATTTAATATATTTTATATATATATATATTCACGTACATGGGAAAACTGTCTGTCAGATTTTGCAAGTTTTGTCAAAGGTCGGTTCGATAGTTTTTAAACATTTTCTATCTATCTATCTATCTATCTATCTATCTATCTATCTATCTATTACGATTTTGTTTTGAAGATTTTGCACCCCGATCAAGTAGCCTTTCGTATAAACTAAATTTGGCAGTAGATTAATGAATTTAAAACATTTGATCATATCTATCTATCTATCTATCTATCTATCTATCTATCTATCTATGTATGGACCGAAAACTTCAAGAAATCTGCAATATATATATATATATATATATATATATATATATATATATATATATATATATATATATATATAGTTTGTTTGTTTAGGTAATATAACGAGTAATAAAACCTAGAAATATTTCTCGAATATTCAGGCTGTCGGACGAAAATAATTAAATATACTTTTTAATAAATAAATGAGCTGTCTATGAGTGTATGAATATAAGTGTTCACTAAAATAACGTTTAAACTGATAGCAATCGGTCTGATTGATATATTTAAAAAAAAAATCATACTCCTTTAGAAAGTTAACTTAATGTTTGGATGCGAATCTGAGCCGATATGATAATTTTGAGGTATCTGTTACGAGAAGGATTTCGATTAAAGGCTCTATTCAGACATTGCTTGATCGACAAAGCTTCTTCGTGGCGTAGTCGGTTAAGGCACATCACATCTAACCATCGTTTATCTTGTCAAGGGAGTCGCAACTTCGAATCCTGCCGGAGAATTTATATTTTTTCTTTAATACGATTTCTCAAATATTCAGGCCGGTTGACGAAATAAAAAAAAAATACTGTTTAGTAAATAAACCTCGTGTCTACTCATATATGAATATCCACGATAAATATACATTTAAAATGATAAGATCTCTCTAAACATCCACTTCTATATTTTACTATCTATATGCCTACAAATCAACCATTCGCCCTTGCATGGAGTATTGCTGCCATATATGGTCTGGGGCACCTTCTGTTTACCTCGGAGTTCTTGACAAGATCCAGAGACGGATATGTAACATAATTGGCCCTGATCTGGCGTCTCGTCTACAGTCACTCTCTCACAGACGCGCCGTCGCCTCTCTCTGTCTTTTCTACAAATACTTTCATGGTAATTGCTCCGATGAGCTGCTTTCACTGGTTCCCAGACCCCATGAATTCAAGCGCCCTACGAGGCTGGCATCCCGCTCCCACCCTTACACTGTAGAAACTTTTAAATGTAGCCGTCTCTTCTACTCCAGTAGCTTCATACCTCGCACCTCTCGCCTGTGGAACACCCTTCCCAATTACTGTTTCCCTGAGAGCTATAATCTACATCTATCCCTCTCCTCATCCTTTCTTCTATCACTCCTATCTGCTCTTACTCCAAATCTTCTGCATCCTAGTGGCTTCACGTCTTGCTTGGGGCATAATGCTTAAAGAAATCTATCTATCTATCTATCTATCTATCTATCTGATGTGACCAAGCAAATGGTTAAGTAATAACAAAAACCAGTAAGTACTCCAGAAGAGCATTTCGCGACTATTGAGAGTGTATCGAATGAACTAGCGCTTAATCTATTTACTGTTCACTGTTCTCCCAAAGCCTTCTCTCCTACTAAACTTAAAGTAGGCGGAAGAGTCTAACATAGATTCTTAAGAGGGAGGACACTACAACATCTATCTATCTATCTATCTATCTATCTATCTATCTATCTATCTATCTATCTTATAACAAGAATAATATATTAAGAAAAGATTTAGACATCTTCGTTCCCATACCATTTCATCTACAATGCTAGAAAACAAGTTTACAAAATCTACAAATACAAAACGCTAAACAACACTAACAGCACTTCTAATAAAAAAAAACCACATAAAATTCATAATCCTACCCTCTAAGGATCTTTAAACTAAACTTTAAAATATATTAGTGTACTAGTTTTTCTTTTTCTAAGACAATCGGCATTACATTTAGGAAGAAAAATACACTACTTCAGATGCGGTACTTATAAAATAAGAATTTATGTCGTGGAGACATTACGGGATCTAAAAGCCCGTATCTACGAACCAAAAAAGAGATTTATGTTTAACCATTCAAGCACAATCATAATACACAGGAACAAAACTCTTCATAATTTTGATTTTACATATGCCACCCCAATTAAAAATGAACATAATTATTTAAATAAAAAATAAGGGCCTACTAACTACAATATTTCTATCTATGAATTCACAGATTATTTTATCAGATCATCCCATAAGTTTTGAATAAAGAAAACAAGTGTCCAAATGTTACATTTAATTACAGATTCAATCAACAATGTATTTTCTCTGATTATCTATGAATTCTTTCCATCTATTAAAAAGCTTACTAATTCCATTACTGTAAAATTATTTTGGCTTTGATTCGAAGAACTCACAAATGTCAGTTTTAACCTCTTCCTGTGTTACAAAAGCTGTTTCTTCCAAATGATTCTGTAAGGTACGAAACAAATGGTGGTCCGAGGGAGCAAGACCGGGAGAATAAGGTGGGTGAGGAATTTTCTCCCAGCCAAGTTCTTCGATCTTTTGTGACGTGATTCTTGCTGTGTGGGGTCGCGCATTGGCCTGATGAAACCTCACCCCGATTCACTAGAGCTGGTCTTTTTTTCCTCAAAGCTTGGTTCTAACGCTCTAATTGCTGACAGTATATTTGAGCATTAATTGTTGCATAAGGTGGTAAGAATTCAAAGTGGATTATTCCTTGGCGATCCCACCAGATTGAAATAACGTTTTGCCCATGAAGTTCCCTTCTCGGCTGTGGCTGGGGTCCTTCTCCTTTACCAATCCACTGTTTACGACGCTTAACATTTCGATAAAAGATCCATTTTTAGTCGCCAGTCACAAGTCTATCCAAAAAAGGTGAAACAAGTTGGCGAGAATGTAGAGAATAGCAGATGTCAACTCGGGATTTGAGGTTGTTTTCCGACAATTCATAAGGCACCCATTTTCCAAGTTTAGGAACTTTTCCAAGTTGCTGAAGATAACGATTGTATGGTTTGAACTGAGAACCACTGCCAATTCCTCAACTGATAAAGCAAGATTTTCTTCAAGGGCTGCTTCAAGAAGCTTTTCATCAAACTCAACTGGACGCTCGGTTCGATCTTCATCTTCAAGAGTGAAATCTCCACCTCTGAATTTTGCAAACCATCTTCTGCAAGTTCTTTCATTGACACATTCCTCTCCATAAACCGAGTAAATGTTTCTAGCCGCTTCGGCTGCTGGGTTTCCTTTCTTGAACTCTGTTGTGTATGATACACCTAATTTACATAAGCGGACTACCGACCATATAAATATGGGTTGGTACCGGAAGACGGGGAAGATAGTAGAGATTAAGAAATTGAATCCAGAGACTCTGCCCGACTGCGATTTAGTCAACCCATTATGCAGGAACAGTCTTCCCAAGAATATACCAAACTAACTGTAAATATTGTGTACCTATTCTTTGTTTCAATACATTTTGTTAACGTACATTTTGTGTTGTATTATTCCATGCTTATTTAAGCTTCAACAAACTCATAAAGCATTATGTGCCTCAAATGATTCTTTGGTACTTCCATGTTAGCAGGGTTTAAATCAAACAAAATTTAATTTTATTTTTCTTAAAAATTTCTTTAAATTTTGTTCATTTTAACAAAACGTTAAAATTCGGACAGAACTTATGGGATGACTTGATACATTACCAACCTGTATTAAATATATTCATAAATATTCTAAGGTATGCTTATCTAAAACAGGCGGTACGTATTAAAGTTCCCAAATCAACATAGGTAAAAGCAACAAGCATAATGTCTTCTAGACATATATACACACACTGGTACAAACATACGTCATCATCTGAATCACATATAGATAAATTAGAATTATTATGCACATATACATAGATCTATCTATCTATCTATCTATCTATCTATCTATCTATCTATCTATCACTTTGGAAGATAAGTTCTTAAGGTTTTCTAATATAAAATATATGCAGAAAGTACGAGACCGTTTCTTCCTACCATCTTCCTCTCTCTCTCTCTCTCTCTCTCACGCACACACACAAAAACACACACACTCTCTCCCTCTCTCTCTCTCTCTCTCTACAGAGAATTAGGTTATGCTGATAGAATTGTAAATATGGATAAAATCAGCCATTTTTAGATATAAACAAACTCATTCCAATTAATTTAAATATGTTTGGAAATATAGCAACTATTTAAGTTATTCGAAATATTACATTTAATATATTAGGTTGAAATTAAAACTAAAATAAAAGATTGCAAAGCCTTTTTTAAAAAAATTATTTAATCGTTAGGTATGGGTTCTCTTTGTGGTATATATATATATATATATATATATATATATATATATATATATACAGAGGAAGAGAGGGAATAGGAGAGGGTGAGAAGGAGGAGAGAGAAGAAGAATAAGGCTGGTGTGAAGGCAAAATATAATTTTCTTTTTAGTCTTATGTTAAAGTAATATCCTTCTGGTGCGGTGTAAACAAAACACTCCGTATTATGTTTATAATATAAACATCAACAGATTATGAATGAATTCACATACTTATAAATATGTATATTTGTCGTTTTTATATATATATATATATATATATATATATATATATATATATATATATATATATATATGTATATGTATTTATGTATTTAAGCGCGCGTGTGTGTGTATAAATATGCTAAGATATAGATTGGTAGATAGATACATAGATCAACTGATTATTTGCTCAAAAATATAATAGGTAGTTTTTCTATGTATAATTAAAATCATGTGGAAGAAAAATGGCGATCTGGATCAAAGCCATTCCAATTGCTTTAGAGACTCCGAGAGTTTTAATGGAAATCCTTAAAAAGAACAGACCCTTTTGTTAAAATTTCTCTACTCGTTCATAGATTTTCTAACGTTTTTTTTTTCTTAAAGCTGAATATTTTAAGAGAGGTTTTTCAATAAGGTATTCGGATTTTCTTTACTTACTGAAAGTGTTTTGAATGAATACAACCTTTCATCCATTCGAGATACTTTCGTAGGCATTTTAATGCTTTTTCGAAAAATAAGGCCTTCAAGAACATTAAATATTGTTTAGGAGGCTTTGTTATGAATTATGAATTTTTTTTAAAAAAAAATGATTTTGAGGAAGATTATCCGTATAGCTATTTTTTTTAATCTCACGCACATTTTAGAAAATAAATCATTAGTCATTGGTAAAATCATAAAACTTGATATAACACTTTTTATTTTTTGCTTATCGGAAGTAAAATTCTCCTTTTCAGAGGGAAACTTAATATTTCTCAAGATTTTAAAAGCAAGATGTTTTTTATCATTTCACTGCATGCAAGGTAGTAAAGCCGCTAAAACGCAATGGTTTACTGAAGGTGGGAGAATAAGAATTCAGACAAACATTATAAAGAACCATGAACAATAGACGAGTAATCAAGCAGGCAGTAGATATCGATTAACATTGTATTTACATTTTTGAAAATCAAAGTTGGCTGGAAAGCATGGACCCGGAAGAAAATACCACAAACAAGAAGTTCGATAAAAAAAAAAAAAAAAAAAAAAACTGTTAGTATAGAACGTACGGTTACATCTAGCGTATTCAACTGTATATAGGTGAGACCTGACAGCCAATCTAGTCCTGCGCTTAAATTCATAAAATCTAGGAACCATAGCGAAGAGTTAATCCGAAAAATTAACTTGAAAGTATTTACACAATTTACATTATTCGGACTACTGTTCTCATCTTTGTTGCCATATTTATCACAACGTTTCGGTCGTTGTACGCCCCGGCCTTCTTCAGGTGGTTGGAATGTCGAACTGTACTCTTTATTTCGCTGCGTGTGGTAGATTGTTCTAGTTCCACGTGCCATGTCTAATGGAAGTCAGTTATCAGTTATCTCTTGTTAATTCCCCGCTCCAAGTTCTCCACTACCTTTACCAGGTATTGAACTCACACTCTTTGGGTCCTGTCATTGGATCTAACTAACGCCTTTATCCGCTGTGTCATGTTTCCTTGAGAAAATATAGACAAATATTGAAAGCATTTATAGAAAAGTCAGAGGGAATCTACATTATGGCGGTGGAAATTGACTGAAGTCAAGACGCCATCAAAGGACCAGTAATACAGCTGAATCATCATCAGTAGCTTCGGAGCATATGTAGAAACAATATTCAAAGCATGGACGAATGGAAGACTTATAGATATGTAAGATAGTCTCTGGGGAGATAAATTGTCTAGCACAACAAAGAGGACTAACATTCTTAGCAGCAAACCTAAGAATGAACTCCATAAAGTTTTTCCAGTTAAGGTCAACTGAGAATGTTAGCCCGAGTAGGTGCTCTTGAAAGTTAAGATTTAAAGAAAATATTTGGGATTTTACACCTTATTTCGTTTACTGGTGTATCTCCATAATTATTATATATAAAACTATAGAACGCTAGAAAAATTTTTAAAAATGGTATTAAAAGAAAAGCCAAAAATAAAAAAGGACAAAGTATCTGTGATCGTCAAAAAAAGGTTCAGACCAATATGCGAATAGAATATAGGTTATAGGTAAAAATAAAACAAAAAAGCATTAAGAGAAAGACTGAAAATACACACTTTATTAAGTGGTATAAAATACAGTAAATTTTGGAGGACTATGTTCGCCCATATTTTGAAGGGACCGGGCATATAGCAGAAGAAGCATGTTAGAATGCGTAGATTGCTTAATTGTGAACGACACCAAACGATAAATCAAAGATCTGGTTTCGAGTTATGGCCGAGATTTTTACGTCCATTTTTCGTATCTCTGGGAATGAGTCTGTGGTGACTTAGCTCTACATTGCCTGCTTGTCCCTTAAACGGCGCTGTTCAGGAATATAAAAGGACGGCTTAATAAACCTCCTTCATCTTTTTATTTACACTTCGGCCAGCTTTTTCAGCATCACGTGCAAGGCAATAAAGCCACTAAGACACAAGTGATTACTGAGTGGGATATAACATGCGAAAAAATATTAAGCAGAAAGAACAATAAAAGAAGAGAATGTAAGAAGCCAGAAGATAACGGACGGTGAAACACTGGTTCTTGGACGATTAAGAAGTTAAGCAACGTCAAGCATTGTCATTACCCAGAGCGGTGAGAGCTTAGAAATATGAGGCTTTATAAGCTTAGACGTGCATATGGTGTAATAGATAAAGGCTTGAAATTGGAATTTGGAGAGCTGAGTTCCAATTCCAATCGGGATTGGTATAATCATTACAAACAATTTAGCTAAGGTAAATCTGAAGCGTCACTTAACGGAACATACCCAAGGATGTTACGAGTTTCTTTGGACATCAGCTGGAAGAAACACCTATCAAAAAACGCCTGTATGGAGACCTTCCTCCTATCTCAGTTTCGCTAAGAGAAAGCGGGCTTTGACTAGCTGGCCACTCTCAGAAAAGTAAGTCAGAGCTTGTGAGAGACACCCTCTTATGGAACCCATTGCGCGGCAAACGATTAGTCGGAAGACCTCATCACACCTACATTGACCAAATTATAGATGACTCTGGATGCTATCTGGAGGACCTGCCGACGTCGATGTCTGAAAGAAATGTTTGGAAGGAACGGGTCAAGAGACTCAGATAATGCTCGACTTCGTATGGAACCCATTGCGCTGCAAAGGATCAGTCGGAAGACCTCATCACACCTACATTGACCAACTTGTAGATGACTCTGGATGCTATCTGGAGGACGTGCCGACGTCGATGTCTGACAGAAATTTTTGGAAGGAACGGGTCAGGAGAATCCGATAATGCTTGACCTGATCATGTGGATAAAATCTGTCTCTTAATACCCCCACCCAATTACGATTTAATTGTTAGAAGTTATATCTGCAAATCATTATGATCGCCAAAAAATTATTACCATTTGTGGCTTTAAACGATCTACAAAAGGTTGATAAGCCGTTATAAATAAATAAATAAATAAATAAAACTATTCGCTATGAATCCTTCTCTTCTCACTCCAGCTACGGCTGGAGGGAGAGAATAGGGCGGCCTGGATTCTCTTGTACTGGATGACTATCTGCTAATCTCGCTGCATTCTTACGGTGTCCCCGCTACCTAAATTCGTTACCGGACTCGCGACGTGATTAAGCCTGTCTACTTTCTGTGGTTTTAGTTTTGTAGGTGATCTGGTAGAATTGGTTGTTTTGTTTTTGTTGCTGTCTGCAAATTCAGAACTTGTGGGCAGCTATTCATCTCTTTATTTATTTACACTGCTTTCTGTTTGACTTTTGATGAGGCTCAAGGCAATTGTTTTTACACAGAGACCCGATCAAAGGTAAAAATCTGTCTCGTCTATTAACAGTTCGCGGTCAATGATAGAACGAATTTTCATGGCAGTAAAGAACGACGTGTTTATTGGTTTCTATGACGGGCTTCAGAACAACGTGCGTCGCCTTTTATCCTTAATTACCTTTCTTACTACCTAGGGAAATAATTCGTCTCAAATGTACCACAAATAGAAAGACGACCGATGATAAAAAAGGAAAACCATTATATATATATATATATATATATCTCATTGAACACATTTTCAGTAGGGACCATTTATAATCATTTTATTTGTTTGTTTAGCGGCATATCAACTCGTTATGGGTCATTTAATGCCGAAATTTAATTTGGTGTGTGTGTGTAGTGGGGGATCATTAGTAATTTCTTTTATAAAAAATGTATTGCTGGTAACTTTTTTTTTCAAACATGCATTACTGGTAATATTTTTCTTTTTTTTTTTAAAAAAAATGTATTGCTGGTAATTTTTTTAATTATGAAAATGTTTTGCTGGTATTTTTACTATAAAAATGTTTATAATTTCGTAGTGTTTTGAACCCAGTTTGTGGATTATCTATTTGACCATAGCTGGGACCCTAGCAGGTGTTACCACTTGGTCAGGGTGGACATGGGGATAGCAGCAATTAAAGGGTG